CCCGTATTCATAGTCCTTCCTCATCTTGAGGACTAAGGAAGCCTTATTGAAGGAATCCTTATTTTATCAAGACTTCCTTGTTTCATGAAGAGATCTTAAGGTTTCCTTGTAGAAGGAACCTGTTTTCTAGGAACTTTTAGTAACTTACGATTTATATGCCACTTCTTCATCAGAAAGCGCGAAAAAATATAACCTATTTACTTATTAAATGCAATTTTGGAAGGTGAATAAGTGCAATTATGGAAAGTGAATCTAAAAATATTCATTATACCGAAAAGAAGCGGATGCTCCTTGTTCAACTAGTATCTGAAGAAAAAGATGTAATAGAAAATAAAAGAACAGGAGCAACAGATTTGAAAGCTAAAACTGAAGCTTGGGAAAGAATTGTTAAAAAATACTGAAGGTTGTATACCCCGTACCAACAAACAGCTTAAAAAATGCTGGGATAACATGAAGCAGAAGTACTTATCTCATGTATTAATATCTATCTTATTTTATTATTAACATTAATAATAATGAGTATGTAGTATATGTTTTTGTAAAATATCAATGTGCATATATTTGTAATTACAGTTATACTTATATTTCATGTTGTTATCATAATTATATTAATTCATTATTTCAGAAAAAAGAAACTAAACATCACAATAAAGGCTCAGCGTCTTATGACGGGTGGAAGTTGTCCAGTAACGATACCTAATGATCCAGTCATGGATGCTATGGATGCCGCAACTCCAAACTTGGATCTTGAAGTATGGTATCCATATGACAGTACCGCTGAATTCGAAAAAGAATGTATGTATGTTCATTATAAAGATTTAATAGATATTTTTCTTTACTTGAACCAATATTTTGAGTAATTTTCTTGTTTTTTGTTTTTAGATAATATAAAAAGTGATTCAGGGAAAAGGCAAATAATTATAAGTGATGATGAGGATGATGCCGTGCCTGATGTGCCTAAAAAATTTGATACTTCAAAACTCATCAACACGAAGATAATAAAATCTAATTCAAATGATATAGTAAATATAAGCAGAAACGTCAACAATTCTAAAGTAGCTTTTCAGCCTGATGTAGGCAATGAACTTAAAAATATACGTGACGAAAAAGAGTTACGGTTGATAAAACTTCGTGAAGGTATTGAACAGCAACGGGAACTGTATGCTATAAAATTGAAGGTTGCAGATGCTGAATTGAAAATTACATTGCTGAAACTTTCCTTAACAGAAGAGACAGTCCAACTGCAATCTGAGGGAACTGTGATTACAGAGTAATCTTGTGATATTTAATTAAGCTTTCATATGTTACCAAAGAGTTATGTGTACTAAATGATTTAAATTATATTATTAAGTCTAATAAGTAGATTGAGTATATGGTATGAGTTCCTTTATCACTTAAATATGTTCAAAAAATTTATTAATTTTATTTGCATGTTTTGGAACAATAACAAAATTGTTTACTTTTATAAAATGATTGATATTAATAAAATTAAGTTACTCAATATATTTACGAAAAGATTTATTTCTTAGCAATATTTTCTATGAAAAATGTCTTGTTATAAAGGCAGTTCTATGAGCAAGTCCAATACCATCTTCTTCATGATTGTAAATAGCCTCAAATACATCGTCGTATACGTCCTGTTCTGGAATTTCATCAAGTTTATGTTGAATACATATATTATGTAAAACAGCAGTCGCACATATAATTGCAACGGATGTGCTTAGTTTAGTTCTTAAACTGTAATATAAACATGGAAAGCGGCGTTTCCACATTCCGAACAGTTGTTCAATAGTAACTCTGGTCCGCTTATGTGCAGTGTTGTATCTGAGTTCTGCATCACTTTGAGGCCTTAATACAGGAGTGAGTAAATATCTGCGGCACGCATATCTGCTGTCTCCTAATAAAATACCATCGAGATGTCCTAATTCAAAACGACATCGCACACCACTTCGATCAAATATCAAGGCATCATGTGCAGAACCAGGATGTCTCACAACTATATCTAGGATTTCTCGATTTGGTCCAGACACAACCTATAACGGCAAATAAGTCTCAAGTGGTTCATTAAGTCTGTTTCTTTTTCCAGACTTATTATACACAGACAATTCATCTTTTTGTCTTTTTCTTTCCACGTTGGAAAAAAAAGAGACAAAATAAACAGTGCAAGAAGTTAAAAAAGACAAGCCTATTATTTTCGTATTCTTATGCAAACTATTATAAATACGTAAATTGAAAAATATACCTGTACATTGAAAGAGAACCATCCTTTTCGGTTCCGAAATATTTCTCCATTGTGTTCTCCAGGATTAGCAATGCGTATGTGTGTACAGTCAATACATCCTATTACAGAAGGAAAATTGGCTATCTCGTAAAATTGATTCATATATTGTCTTCGGCGCTCTTGTGTGGAGAACGTGATGTACTGCCCTAAATGTGAAGCTATAATTTTTGACACTCTTGTAACAATACGCGACACTGATGCCTGACTGACTCCTTGAATATCGCCACTAACAATCTGGAAGATAAGTATGTAAAAGATGCGATAAATAATAAATGTACAAGGCTGGGCATGTATATGAAAAACTTTTATTTGAAAAACAGTATTCTCTCTCGTAAGATAATTATATTTTATATATTTCACATCCGTACAATAATATTACAAATATTGTGGTTAGAATAAAAGTATTTCATACCCAGCCCTGTATAAATGAGGGAGAGAGAGAGAGAGAGAGAGAGAGAGAGTGTGTGTGTGTGTGTGTGTGTGTGTGTGTGTGTGTGTGTATGTGTGCAATGAAAAAACGTAAAATAATATACCTGAAAACTGCTTGTTGCATAAAAACGTAAAGAAACCAAAAGTTGCATTAGTGGAGAAATAGGCAATCCGCGATTATCAGTTCGCTGTAGCTCATCATTTACGAACGGTAATAAAATGTCTATTACATCTCTTTTATTGAATCTGAACCGTTTTTTAAACGGTATATCATTGTAAAATTCGATCGGATTTTCACCGTCGCGAATATACCGTTTCGGAAGCCGCCATCGAAAATCATCTGCCGCAATTTCATCTTCAAATCCATTGTCTGAATCATTTAAAAAATCGTTATCCATTATTCGTATGTGTATGAATAATCAAACATACGATTATTGAGCACATCAAATCAAAACTTATAGGTTAAGTTACATGACATTTTACGTGTTTCGTCTGCTAACAAGATCGCTTTCGCCCCTTAAGGAACCTCTTAACTTCCCTTGAGATAAGGGAGCCAATAAGGCTCCTTATTTGGTCAAGGCATGTTTATGAAACGTGAAATGAGGAACAAGGAATCCTCATTCCTCAAGGAAGGACTATGAATACGGGTGTTAGAAATGTACTAAGGCGCTCGTAGACGTAAGGGACATTCGTTCGGGGCGCTCGACACGCTGTAATCTTTATTCTATCTTTTTTTTCGCTCATTACATACGAAACTAATAGCGAATTCAGTTGAACGTACTAGTGCACATTAGTGTACATT